TATGGCCCAGTTAATAGTACATTTATTATTGATTTTGCTTATGAGTCTATTAATGGAACTGGTACTGGTCCAACTGATCATAAACATTCAAACCGTTGATAGCGTTGAACTTTCGGTTACTTTTTTGATTGAAGCGCAAAAACCAGGTAAATATGTTGAATGTCTCACTATTGATGCTATTCTAGATTCTAGTGTCGGTAAGAATTTATTTTATTTCTTTAGTTTTATAAAAACTTATATTTTTAATGATAGAGCATTGTGAAGAATAGTTTCTGGGCGTATATAATGTTACGATTATGATTTGTAATGGAGAATATGACCCATATCATCGCCATAGTTAGTTGTATGATATGACTAAAGGCTCGTTTTCAAATTGATACATAGCAATAAAAAACAGTATGTTCACTCTTTTTTTTTGTTAAAAATAATCCATTAAATTGATTATAAATAAACGTATTTTAGTTTTATGTATTGAAATAAAAATTAAAATAAGAATCTTTTTCTGCTGAAAAAATATTTAATGCTATTAGGTTTTTCATCTGTATTCTTTGAAATGAATCTACAACAGAACGTCTGGGAGATTTTCTTGTTACAATTATATGTATAATGTATTAATATATAAATTAAAATGAAAATAACAGTTAATTTGCTACAGAAGATGTCCAGTGCAAGAAAGGATTAGCACAAACTGAAGATTTCGAGATAAAAGGATCATAGGAAGCCTAATGTATTGAGAAGGTTCGGAGGGACGAATTTCATCTTACATCAAACAGTTCAACTCGTGGTGATTATCATGTTAGTCCGATCTCTCATTTCTTCGAAACGAATCATCACTCCTTTTCTATTCATTCAAACAAATAGATGTGTCAACGATTCGAAAGTAATTTCTTCAAATTTATCTTTTCAAATAATCGATTTGACATCAAAGGGGATCCTTCAAGTGAATCGATTTCATAACAGTTACGATTTGATCATTTCGCATGAAAACGATTGAGTCGTTTTAATCATCAAATCATCGTTCAGTCGAACGAAAAATTCTCCATTGTTGATGCTCTCTAATCATTGATCAGATTGGGTCTTAAATCACAAAAAGAAATTATTTTTCGAAACAAGAAAGAATGGAATAATATAGTGTAATATATTGATTCCATAATAGACTCATGACTGAAATAGAAAAGAAATAATAGGCTCTCGATTTTATTACAGGTATATGGATGATTTCGTAAGCGATTTGAGTCTTCAAATTATTAGGAGAAAAAGTTACTTCAGCATTGGAAATGCTTAGTTTAGAGGTGATACAATCAAACCTAATGGTTGAGATGTAAGAATCATAAGAATAAAATTCAGTTGATTAGCTGACATCATATTGTACAGAATTCTCAAAAGAAAAGATCGATTAGTACTGACAAAGCCAAATGATCGACAATGTAAGGAGATGGATAGGCAAAAGTTGAACAAGAATGATTAGAACACTATCTGAACCTTTTTTCTCTAAAGTGCAACATCAGATAACCACTATCAGATGTCCAAAATACTTTATAGCGGTAAGTTTGACACATCCCTCACAAGTGCTTGCATTCTTGTTATGATTGGCAAACATAAACGTTCTTGATTAATAAAAGTTTCAGTAGCTCGTTCTAGAAGAAAAATATAACAATGCAGAATATTCTTATACTTTTTCACAAAATACCGATCAAGTCAAAAAGAAAAAGGTTTTATTTAAGAATAAATAAAAGGAGTAAGTAGAATTTCGTTATAAAAAATATCTCGGAGGAATAGTTAAAATCCTATATTTTGTTACATTTCCATTGATTTTTTCTTCGGTAGGTTGTGGTAAAAGTTCAACTGGATGTTCATGTCCTTTCTTTTGACATATCCAACATAAGTCATAATTACCACATGTTGAACAATGATATCTTTGCCAAATAAGAAGAGCGATATGACATCCATCACACGACACATAAGACCATTCAAAATCATCTACTGGAGAATGAGGTAATTTCTCATCATGTGAGTGTGGATGTTGATCATTGGAATAAAGACACTCACACCAAAAAAACGTACTGGTCTTCTCTTCTAAATAAAAAAACATGATTAGATTAAACTTGATTAATAATGGAGGGATACAAAATTTGTAGGTGATCCTGGCTTTTGGCCTGTCCTGTATATTTCTCGTTAACAAGAATCTAGATAAAATTATAAAGACATATATTTTTTAATGATGTATGGAGATTCCTTAGTCGTCAGCATATTGTTCCTAATATTTTTCATTGTAAAAGAAGCTTAACGTCTTAAGTGGAACAAACATCATTTCACAGGAGATACTCATATATTCTAAACAAGCAAATAGTCAGCAAAGTAATATTACTTTATACAGGCATCCCATGCTTTTGAAATTTATTTATTATTATTAATTACTCATATTAATTTAATAAATGTTTACTGATACAAGAAAGAAGAAATTTATAACAACAAAAAAAAAATTTTAGACGTTTACATCATGAATTGATATGGGAAACTTGCTAGAATCTATTTTCTATTTTTGGGTTTCATTCTAACAGTTTCGATATCTATCTTTTATTTCGCTAAGTAATTAACATGAATATGTTATTAACACATTGAGTAAAATGTAAATATAAAACAAAAGAAATCAATAGATATGTTTCATTTATGTATATATGCAAGGAAGGTTCGCCAGTTACTATATTACACAATCCTATAGCAAGATGGATCGAAGTGTGCGGTCTGGGTAGGTGTCTAAAGATAGTCGTCAATCACAGCCACAACCAGTACCAAACGCCCATACCCACATCCAACGTACAAAAAAACCAAAACTTCAACGGTGATAAGAAACTCTGGTTTAAAACATATGTTAGAGACAGACAGACGGTAATAATTTTTATTAAATTTCGTAGACCATTCAGTGTGAGAAAAAACTGAACCATTTACGATCAGGCATCACCAGTGTTGATCGAAAATAATCGTAGCCGAACAAAATCGAGATTGACATCGGAATTAATGTACTAAGTTTGATACACGAAGCACTTTATGCTGGGATATAATCCTGTAAAAAATGGCTGGATTTTTATATCTATCGTGAAGTGAAAATAGTAATATCGAACAAATAGGAAATGGGAATGCTTTGTTGTCTCTTTGAAGTTTTGCTCGTGTTAATCATGGCCAAATATCTATACGATATGCATTACCGTTTTTAAGAAGCGTTTGACAGATATACGGAATATGCCCACAGGACGAGCAATAACAATTTGAAAACAAAATGGACCTGAAACATACTATCAGCTCGAATGCAATATCAACCCTTCTATCCTGAAATCGAGTATTTGTCCTCACTCCACATCGCTGCTAAAACGTTTAATAGTCATCCACGCTAAATATCGAAGTAAACTAGGCATCGATTCACTGCATTCTATAGATAAAATCTTCGATTATTCGTGAATATTGCCATAGTTTTGACATTGTAGAAATACTTCTCAAGGATGAATTCAGTTTAGAAAGTTTCATTCTTGCTGTTTTTGATAGTACAAAACTGATGAATATTTGCTTTTGGAAAAATTTCATAAACTCTTTTATATCTTGCTTATAAATTTTCAAGTTCTTCTTTAAAATTCTACATGCATATGAAAAGATTTTGAGGATACTCATAATTCTCCATGATTAGTTTTATTGGTTTAAATTAGAGAGAATTGAATATTTAATGTAATAAGTTGAAAGTCAAAGAGAACACGTAATAAATTCGAACTACGTCAATCGAGGAAGTTAACTGATACACATCGATTGGTAATATAATATTGAATATTCACTCATGCTGAAAAATGATTGATGACAAAAAATAAATGTTTCTTTTTCATCATAACGCAAAGTTTGCATCAATATAAGTAAACAATTATGCGGATACAAGCATGTGGAACAAAGATCAAATAATCCTACCAATCTCTACTAATGAATATCGTGTATTGAAGAATTTAATCTGTCTTTTTATCTGCACCAGTTCAAATGATTGATGAGAGAACAAAGTACTTCTTCGTACGAAACAATTGTTAAGCGTATTTGAGATGAGAAAAGAGTTCGAACTTCTTTGATATCCATCATTCGGCACTCCATTTTCTGGAAGAGGTTCCGGAATAATTCGATGACATCAATTGATTTTTATTGGAAAAAAAAATCGTCCATAAACAGCTGTTATAAACAAATATGATTCAGAGAAATAGAAGAATGGTTGAATTGCGTCGTATAGATTTGTACTCAATCACCTACACTTGTATTCTTTCGGACTCTTCTTCTCAACGCATATTATCTGTTCTCTTGTTTTTCGTTCTCCCTATTATCTGTGTATTGCATATTATCTCTTCTTTCTACAATCGTCCTCGATGTTGTACGTCAATAGCAGTTAATTGCATTTGCCATTTCTTTCTCTCATTCTCTCATTCTCTGTTTCTCCCGATTCGTAAATACAATTTAACTGAAGTCGCATACAACGCAGAGCTCTTCATCTCTCAGTAACGAACGAACCGTTTTTTTGTTTGAACCGTTGACATCTGTATATCGAATAACAGTGATAAAATATCGAGTCATCGAGAGTGAATATCTTGTCCGTTAAATAAATATATTTCGTTTGATCATTTTTATGATCGATCTCTTACGCTAAATTATTCAGTGTTGAAATTGTTTCAATGATTGAATAGATCGGCTAAAAGTAATGTTCACTATTTTGAAAAAAATCTCTGTTTTTGTTAAATCAATCCTCTATATCGTTAATAGACAGAGAGAAATGTTTCTTTTTTGCACTCGAATACCTTTACTATTTCTTTTTCTATTCTTTTACTCGATGAGAATAGAAGAGAAAAAGTACGTGACACAAACACCGATTTTGTGTTGTCTTGGTATGTTTCTTTGCGTTCGTAGTAAAAATAAGTGTCGATTTGATGATGACTTATCATCTGTTTCTCTTAGAAATCAGCTTTCTAAAGTCTTAGACTTCTATGTCTTCAAGTTCCACTCTTTGTTCGATATTGGGTATTTCATCGGCGGAGCGCGTTCAAGCTCATTACGAAGGTGCTCGTACTCATTTGTTCAATTCCAATGAACATTTACGTCAAAGTTCACATGAACAGAAATTATATGCCAAATATGTTGCAGCAAACGAACCCGCTGGTCCTACCATCTATTCCTCAAAAGGTAACGATTAAATATATTCAACATTTTTGCCTTCAAGAATACCCATTCAAATATCGAATATCAGATTCAAACTTTTTTATCTGACATTGCTTTTCTCGAAAATCAGTGAATGTAAATAAGAAGAAAATTTATTTCGTAAAATAACTGTGTAGCAATAGGGCATCAATGGATGGGCATAGAAGAGAAAAGAGCTGTTTTCAATACGTTCTTTTTTTCGTAAAAATGCGAATAAGAAAAGAATCGAAATCTTTCGATCAAATGAATTTTGATTACAAAAAGAAATGTCTATCAGATTGTAATAGAATCCTCAATCGAATAGACCGATGAGTTTCTCTTGTCGAAAATATTTTCAAGTATTAAAACGTGTTTTATTGAAGGTGAACACTTTACGGAAGTATGTCCATCGCTAAAACGTTTCATCGATAATGAACTCAAATTGGATTTAAAATATTTTGGATATATGGAATATGCCTATGGATTGGAAGAACATCGACAACTGTTCAAGAAAATCGTAATCCGAGATCATCAACTGGAAGATGATCTTATTCAACCAGATTTCTTTGAAGTCGGATGTTTTATGAATTCCACACGTTTGGCTATGTATGATTTAGGAAGAGTCATTTTGAAAGAACTCAACGAAAAACAATCGACGAGACAACCAGTTGTATGTAAGTGAAACACAACTGATCGCGTTTTAATCTTGAACAAGTCGGATAAATTTTCAATGAGAATTTTTCCAAGGTTTCTGGACTTGCTCTTGAAAAAATGTCCATAATTGAAATTCGACGAAAATGAAGATGGAACTTTGTATTTCTTACATTTTCGATGATGTGCCGATCGACTGCACACGAATTTAGAAATATAAGTCGAGTAAAAACAAGTCCCTTCTGCTTTAGTGTCGTTTGAACCCGGATGGGATTACGCCGGTGTTTTTGAAAGTCTTCAAATGAAAGTACTTCATCTACCACTAACACCGAAAGCGGAATTCAAACCTGACTTGGATGAATGGTCAAAATTCTTGAAAGAACAAAAAGTTGACCAGATCGATTTAATTATCATCAACACACAACATAATCCAACGTAAGTGTCTTCAATCAATCTTTTTATAGTTATTTGCCCATTGATAGACCGATTGATCATTGAAAACAATTGAATTCTGTATGAAAATAGACGTGACAATTGATGAGAAGAATTCAAGAAGACATTACTACATCTGATCTGAGAATTGTTTCTCTCTTGAACTCAATGCATTAGAGAATGTTTCTTTACTTTTTGAACATCAAAAGAAAATCTTAATATTAATCCATTGAATTGATAACTGTGTAACTAATGAGAAGTTTTTGAAAAACTTTCTTCACGTTGAGGATCAGTTGTCGTTTACAGATCAAAAATTGACACTTGAAATAAATCATCGTTTTGTTTTCTCAAAACACTTTCAATAAGAGTTCACTCTGCAAAAAGTTGTTGACTTATTCTTACTTAACAATAATTATTTTGTGTATCGATTTAGTGGTCAACAGTGGTCCGAAGATGTAGTCAATTATTTAGTGGATTTAGTGTACAAATATCAAAGCTATGTTCTAATTGACGACGCTTATTATTGTGTTAACGATCCACGAATTGAAGTTGTCAATACACTCAAAATTTGGTTAAAACGACTGCATGCAACCAAAAATAAGTAAGTCATCGAAGAGCAACTCGCGTTTCTTTGAGGGGCTGCAGAATTTTTGCCAAGTAGAATTCAGACTTTTAAAAATTCAATCGGTAAACAATGGATTAGTTCACTAAGATACGTTTACATTAGGAAATAAACTACTAAGCACCACACTCAGAATTTAAACAGAATTCTGTTACGACTAGCAGAATATAAACTTTGAATAGACATACTAGAATTGTATCTGTCCTGCAAGAAAGAAAAATTCTAGTGAAGAATTTTAACATACCCGTAGAGTGTAAACCGAATTCTGTTACAACTAACAGAATAAAACCTTGAATAGGGCTACTAGAATTATATATCCTCTACACTGGTTATGAGAACAGAGAATTCTACAGAATTCTAAGCAGAGTTTAAACAGACACGAATGGAATACGTTGTCTTTGATAATATAGAATTCCAGCCAGAGTATAAACAGACCAGAAAAGAATAGTTTTATCCTTTGATCGCTATGTCTTTTAAAGTTGGTCTTGAGAAACATAGAATTCTGTTGAGAGATAAGAAGTTAACAACAGAATTCTGGTGTGTGTTAATAAATGCGTTTAAAAACAAATACATAAGTCCACAGAATTCTGAATTCTGCTTGGTAGGCATTCTGCAATTACTGGTTTCTTTCAATCAATTTTCTACGATTTTATTCAACTGAAGCCCAGAACACGAAAGTAAACGATCCTCTCCGAATTTGTTTCGTTCTGAAGTTGTTAAAAAAAAGATAAAAATTCAAGTCGTTCCAATGATTTACCAATCTTTCAATAATTGTAAAATTAATAGATCACAATTAAAAAGAAATCTGAATTTACTTTATGTATTTTTTCAAAATCTACTTAAAAATGTTCACATCGTTTCTTAACTCCTTTGAGTTTTGTTTGAAAACTCGACTTTATTTTAATTTGAATGCAACAGTTTTTGAAAGATCTAGCAACCAATACTCAGCCTTATTTGAATATGAATAATCAAAATAATGCCTAGAATATATGTGTTTATTTCATGAAATCAATAGAGACACATTTGTTTGGAATTAGTAGAATGTCAAGATTGCACTATGAAAAAGTACAGAAAATATTTATTTTCGTTTTGTTTAGTCCGGTGTCAACTCGTTGGTTTCAAACACGTCCATTTGGAAAACAATTCAATTGTAATGCGATGGGTATTGCGGCTATTAGTTCGTCCCCTCAGTTGATTGCTAAATTAAATGAACTCTATTGGAATCATAACTATATCAATGGATGTGTTAATGCTGAAATTATTTGTCAATGGTTGAGAAACCATCAACAAGAGGCTGATCAATTTATTGTTGGTAAGAACAAGTGTTGGTCTTCCATTTGCAATTCAAGATCAAATTGATGATTAGCAGAGTGCGATGCTTTTCGAGAAAGTTCTCCAATAACGTTTCACTAGAGAGTGGAAATTTCTTTCGATACTTTGGTGACGAAAGATAGTCAAAGTGTCAAAAAACAAAATCGAAATTAGAGTTCCTAACTACTGATTAATTTCTGCACCTATTAATAAATCTTTGACAAAAACCTTTGATCTTGGTCAATTAGTTTTGTAGAGATGAGTAAGTCGAATAGGTGTTAACTATTGCAAAATTTTTCTTGGAGAATCGTTCTTTCTTCGAAAGACAGAGTCATGTTATTGATTGCTGATTCATTTCTTTGGTATTTTTATCGTTGGTAGACAATGGTCTCGAACTTTTTCGAAAGAAAGAGTTTGTTCGTCGATTCATGGAAAATGAGCTGGGTTATCCTTCTCGATCAATCTGTACGGGCCCATGTACGTCTTATGTCATATTTGAAGCACCATTGGTGTATTTGGAAGATTCGACAAAGAAGAACTCGGAAATTGCAGAACAATTCTCAGATGATCTGTATTTTGCAACAGGTGTTTTACTCAGTGGAGAATTTGTTAGTCGTTCCAATGTAGCAGCATTTGTTCGAATACATCTCGGATCAGATCCAGCAAATATTGAAGAAATGATGAGACGATTTAAAGCAGCAGGATTAAATTATCATATGAAGAAGAAATTCGATGTTAGCAAAATACTTGAAGAAACAATCACAACTAAATTATTGAAAATGGTTCATCATTGAAAAACAACTGTTTTATGTGATAGAACATTACTTTTCTATTTTTTCTCTCTTTATTCAAGATAGATTTTCCCATCTTTCGAAATAAAATATTTTCTCATAAACGGGCTAGGCAAAAGTCTCTACTCAATTCCTTTATTGATTCATGCCGAGAAAGTATAAATTGCATTGACATCGTATTCACGTTTAAATAAACTAGTATATATCTGGCGAATAGAATCTGAAAAATAGATTCAGGAAACAATTTTGAAATGGGATACTTTCAAAAAATCGTTTCTCTCTCATGACTTTAGCTAATGCTTAGACGTATTTTGTAGAAAGACCGATTGTCAAACGAGCAATTTACAAACGCAAGAAGGCACATAACATATACATGCAATAGTAACCATGTATTCCTTCCTCTCACAAAATATGATGAACGTTTAAGTTATAAAACAAGTTTGATTGATGAGAAGAATGAAAAGTCTGTCTCTTTTTCTCGTCAGTATATTAAGGAACTAGCTCAAAACATGTCTATATGATATTGGGTGTGCAGTCATCTTCACAATTGGATCTATATAAAACTGATTCGAAACAGAACTATCTAGCATATTATTTTTTTTTGTTTTGTTATTATGTGGATATCGATGCTCCTCGATGGATTGACATAAAAGGATCAGATTGAAACATACCAGATAATCGAGTATTGTAAACGCTCCCTACTGAAGGACGATCAACTCGATCAGTTCGATAAACGAATCTTTTGATTTGTAGTCGACAATCTAAAAGAAGAAGGAATAACTACCCAAAAACCTCTATCTTGGTCAGTTTCTAATCGGCGTGGGACAGTTTTGCACTTACAACCACCCAAAACCGCACCCCACACTGATGCCCAGCTCCTTATCAAAAACTGATTTAGCTTACAGTAAATCGTCGTTACGTGCGACACAAGGTACTCAACTGTATTTCTTCTTTTTTTGATGTGTCATAGATGCTCATAATGTCTTTGCTAATGATGAATAAGGCTCGAGGTCCTAACACACATTGCTTCTGTCAAAGGTATGTCAAAACCGATCCTCTTTTATTAAGATTAAATTATGTCTTCGACATGTAAAGTCATCAAAACAAAGGAAAAAAATATCAGGAACAGAAATGATTCAATATGCTTTGGCTGTTGGAAACCGATTTGTGCATATAGCAGGCGCAGCACCGAAATCTCGCATAGGTTTGACGACAGAGTTGATTCTTCCATCGTCGTTGTTGTCGACTGGTTGAAGAAGCCGTTTGACGTGTTGCTTAACCATTTCTTTACTGATCTCGACTTGTTTGATCCATGATTTTCGCTTGAAAAACTCGGCCTCTTGCAAACAATGAATAGCAGTTGCATGGATTGATGCACCAGCACAACGTTCGTAAGGTTTAATAGTTGCTTGTTGAAGTTTCTGATCGAAACGAAATCGGAGTGGACCTAAATTTTTTCTTGCTTGGTGATCTTGACGTTGTATATGGGAACCGATATCGAGAATCCTACTGCGGTTGATCTGAACAGAGGAAGGTCTCATTTTCGTTGTCAGTTTCTCGACAGAATTTTGTAAGGATTGCTCGGATTGTGTCAATAGGTCGCATTTAGTCTTGGTTTTCTTTTGTTGACCATTGACAACGATACGAGTTGGCGGCAATAGGGACTCATTGATAGAAGATATTTTCTTTGGACGACTTGAAGTTATACTTGTAGTGGCCATTATTCCGAGCTTTTGTTTCTGCATAGACTGAACAGTCGATGCATTCGAAGTCAATGTAGTAACTAGTGGTATAGCAGATTTCTCTTGTTGTTCATGTTTCTCATTTTCACGGACGGCGGAGACGAGTGAAGGTATTTGCATTGATGCAATAGTTTTGCAACTCGTTGTTGGTCTTGGTTTAGTTGTTCGAGTACGTCCATGTTGATCTAAACATAGAACAAGGTGCGTGTGAAATACTTATTGATCGATAAAAGTCTCTAGAATTTTCTCTCGTGAAAATGAATTGATACACATTTGTTCATCGAAAAAGTTCATATTCGAAGTGAATTTGTTCATGTTCTTCGATGCGACGATTGACTGAACAAGAACTCACCTTCTTTTGGTTCAACTGGTGCTAGATTGGCTGCGGCCGATTGTGTCCTATAAATATTCAACGGACTTTCGTTATTCATGATGAAACTCTGACATTGATGATCCGAGCCAATAGAACTCGAAAGATCTTGACCATTGGAGAGCTCCGATGACGAAACAATATCTTCCAAAACTACTGAAGAATTTGTAGATGCAAAATTGATTGGTTGTGTTTTTGCTCCCAACAGACCATGTTGAGCCAAGAGTGGAAGATGCTGTGATTTTCGCGGGTTGATGGCTGCTGTAGATTTAGTGCGCTGCTGTTCATCAGCTACGAACTGTTCCATGTGTGCCTTTATCTTAAGTATCTTCTCACATTCTTCATTTGTACAATCGTCCGAGCGATCAGTTTGATCTCTTTGCCATTTTCTATTGGAGGCCACAGGACACATCGATTCATCGGAAGCGTCAAAAGTATTGTTGAAACCATCGATCAATACTTTATAACCTAATAAGCCTTTACTTTGATAAGTTCGTTTGATGTCAACTGAACTGTCGTTGTGAACACCGTATTTTTTCCAAACACGTTCTCGTGCTCGTTCGCACCATCTAGGCAAGAAAAGAAACGCACATTTAACTGATATTTATCATGCTCGAAATACAACAGATCTACCGAACCTGATTATTTTACAGTAGCGTGGCAGAGAAAAAAAGAAAAGATGTGCCGGTGATCGATGCAATGTATTGACATTCGTGCTCGATGTTGATAAACTGGAACCATTTCCACCATTGACATTGAACGGGATTTTGAGATTGAATTGTTTGTCATAGAGATATAAATAGATATGACTATAACGTTGTTTTTCTTCTTTTGTTTTCGATAATATACACAATGATAATGCCAGACGATAAGGTAAAAATCCCGATATTGGATGAATTACTTGAGTACACAAAAGTGATTGTCGCACAAACAGATCCACCATTTTCATGTGTCCTCGTTCAATAGCTATATGAATGGGACATTTGAGCACCTCTAGCATATCTTTTACTGTTGTTTCACTCGACCATTGTCTAGATGGATGCTCTCCAACTGGACAATCGCTTCGCGCACCCAATTGCAAAGCGTAATTTCCCAATTCCATATGACCTATAGTTGAAAGGCTATTATGTCAAAAGATCAAGTACATCTATGCCGCTTGGGTTTAATCGATATTCTGTTAGGTGCATCATAGGCAAGTCTCGATTAATCCATTAGATTAACTATATTTCTAAAAAAAACTAGTACAAAAGGTTTTAGTGATTGAAGATGTAGCTATAATAGGCAAGGTATAAATGATTTATCTGTGCCTTAATTTTTATTGATCGGTCGAGTGATCGAATGTAACACACATAAAGCGTATTATTCTTTTTATCTCTTAAGTCTACGTTTCTTTCTCTTCTCTTGATTGTTGAAATTGATGATACCACAACGTGTATTATATCGTTTCTTGTTGTAACTAGGAGTGACTCTATTTTTATAAACTAAATGATATTGTTTTTCATTTAGTTATGTTTATATTTTTAAATTGTTGAAAGCACATATGTCTAAAAAAAATCTTTGTCAATAATTCAAGACAAGTATTTCCAAAAACGTGTTGAAACGCATTAGTCACAATTTCCGCTTAAATGTTTTCTCGCCCATTCATAAAACTTATAAAGTTTTGTCTCATAATATTTTAATGTTTTTTTTTTCCTTGCAAACGGAAATGGTTTTTCCATGATCGATGTATGTCAAAAATATTTTCCCGATATAAAGATTGCCTTCTAGAGCGTTTAACACTAGTTTGATGTTTTCTAGATTCATCTGAAAATGCTCAAACGAGAATCGCAATTAGTACATTTAAAGACGTTTTTGGAAATTCTCGTCGCCAAATACCAATTTATTACAATAAAAGATTTTGATCATAAAAATGAAGAAGCGCGTTCTTATCGTTTAAACGATAGATTATGATTATGTCGAAAAATGATTCAGTGCAGTTTAAACTAATAGTTATTTATGATTGATACATGATCAACGATGCTTTCTGTAAAAAAAAAATTCAATATTCAACAATCATCCACATTTTCAATTAAACGATATTTTTTTATCCATGATTAGTTACATGTCATATTGAGATAATACGCATATAAAGTAAGTGATACACATGCACTATAAAAAGACTTGCAACGTTTCTCGAACTTCATTTAGTTTAATCAGTTTTTCCTACTCATCCCTATTTATTACATGAATCTGATTCAAGAACATTTTTTTTTATTTAGCCTTCAAAAATCAAAGTTAAATAAAAATCAAATTCATTTGACGGATAGAGACAAGTAGGCAAACTAATGAAATCAAATAAAACCCTAGAAATATCAGAATAACCCTTACAGTTACATACGAACAGTCAGGTATATGTATATTTTGACTTAATTATTATAATCAAAGACTAATCATATGCTACGTCTTTTACTAGTATTATGTAGTATATATATGGGAAAAACATGAGTCTAGCTAATCAAGTAGTTATTGATTGATTTTGTTTTTTCCAACATTTTTCTATAGTTCTGACATGTAATTTGTACTTCATCGATTCTCCAGACTACATTCGTCTTGAATCTGACAAATCTCCGATGAAAACTCGCTCGAATTGCTTTTTTATTAACTCTGAATTCTAGATTATTCGAAACATCTATAAAAAAAAGTAAACGTATTTCTAAAATTTTGATTTAAAATAACTGTTACAATGAAATCGCTTGATGTCTAAGAGTTAGTGATTCAATCAGAGAAAGAAAAACGAAAAACTGAAGTACTACTTGAAATAGAGAAAAAATCTCGAGAAATGTAATAAAAAGAAAACAGAAAGAAAAACAAATGTAATATTCGATCGAATTCAGTAATTCTTTCCGACTAAA